CCCGCCCCTTGCATATGGTAGCATATGGGTCTGAATAAATAGGTCATCGGAAGCGGCGGGTACTCCATGGATGCATAACTTTATCGCTGTGTAGAGTAGTGGCATTTTAGTTGCTGTCTGAACAGGTTTTCGTTCGGGCCTTCTAAATGATGCGGTTTGTATTCATGAATCGCAGGTGCTAAAATGCCATATAGCCGTAACCCGCTTAAATGGCCCCCTAGGCTGCCAGAAGCCAGGGGGCGGTGCAGTTACGTCAGATTGACAGAAGTTTGCGAGTGTTATTCATTTAAGGGTTACAGTTTTACTGCTTTAATTGACTCTCAGACGACTCGAGGCGCACTGCAGCCCTAAGACAGACGTTATCGAAGGAACCGTTGAATTAATCTGAAGAGTGTTTTCAGGCCATCGAGTTGAACAGCCATTGACCAAAGTCTTGCTGCTCTAGTTTGAGTTTAAATTTCTTGATATTCTGTCTCTTTGGAACAACGGGAACATAGGCTGCGGTAAAGCAACCAAGTTATTCAGTGTGATCAGATGCATGCTCGTGAATCAGAAGCCTCCACCGGCTTCCACGGATGCGAGATCATTTACCGACCTACTGAACAATGGCAGCCCCAACCGCTGGGTGACGGCCACCAATCAAGATTTTAGAATCATCCATCAGAGCTGATCGTTTTGAGGTTCACGACGCTAACGGAGATGCTAAAAGAGATTAAGTCCCACTGTACCTAACCCTTTGAGCTGCCTGTTTTTTAATCTTGTTCGCTCCCTGCGACGAGAATGAAATGATGGTTTTTAAAGAAAGAAAGAGAACTTTACACCGGTTCACCAGGGTTCTCTGTAGTTCGGCTATGATCGCGCTAGAACATAATGTGTTTCTCTCTTTACTGTGTTCTCAAGCCAACCAACAATGGACTACCTGTTTGTTGAGCTTTTGCACATTTTTACCTAAGTCTTCCTCCCACATGTGATGTGTCTACCTCATTTATTAACCTTACGCTCTTTCTGGAAGCTGGTG